TTAAACTCGATATGAATTCTGACATATCGTATATATCGATATAATGCTTATATTCAATTTTGATTGCGCCGCTTCGCTTGTTTACCTTCTTTGTCGTCGCCTCCGCGCGCGCCCGCCTCCCTGATTTTGTTCGCTCGTGTCTCCTTCACTCGTCACTATCGCCCTGAACGCCGAAAGTTGGTGCCAGTGAAAAGCTTCAAGCACTACGAACCTTTTCCACCATTTACAGACAGACAAAACCATCAGCAGCACATCCTCATATTCCACCGAGTCACGTCCTTTAGCCCGAAAGAAGCTGAACGAGCTGAGCTGCATGAGAAGTGCTGTTTATGCAAATGAGCCATGCGCTTAAGTTTCATTTCTGTAAAATCTAAACACACGTGCGCAAAACTGCATTAAACACATTATTATCTCAAACAGGCTGATGTGACTCTATAGTCGTTATGCTTCATATATTGTAAAGTTTAGTAATGTAAAGTTTATTTATGCAGAAGATTTTAATGAATAATCTGCTGCAGTGTCACTTGTACAATAGTGTTTGGAAACGTTGGGTTTGATCTGCAGTGGATTGTGGGATTAAACCTCAGAGCTCCTTACTGCTGGATCATAACATGGATCTGTTAAAATAAGGAACATTCTGAGCTTCTTCTGCTAAAGGAGCTCATGGTTCTGGTTCTGGTTTGGATAACAGAGTTAATGCAAAGATGAGCTTGTGTTGAGTTGTTTTATTTATGAATGAAAAGAAGGAAATATGTTTTATTTCTTTTATTTTACAGTTAAATTATTATTTATGTAATTAGGGTTTTTTGTCATCTTAAATGTTCCTATATGAACTGCCGACCTCTTACACTATCATTAAAAAAAAAAAAAAAAGACCTTGTGGAATTGGCAGATTTGTTTTTGCAGGTTTCAGTTTTAGGGGGTTATTTTTTCTTGTACATATATCGAGATCGCCCAGCCCTATTCATTAATATGTGCTGTCCCTTTACAAATAAATAAATAAATAAGGAAAAAATAAAACATGCTGCCTGAGCAAGGCTATGGCTCGTTTTGGATCTATGTGGGTAAAGCCTTGCGCGCTCTACCGTGGCACAGGCAAATGTTTGATTTGATTGTGTTTGGACACATGTGTTAGACTCTTTCAAAGTTGGTTAAATGATGAGACCTTGGTGACATGTGATGCTCGTGTGAGTAAATGTGCACAGTTCCATTTAGGCTATAGTCTACTGTTAGGCCTAAATATATGTACAGAATACTCGACTACGCTGTAAATAATTACATTAATGACTCAAAAGAAAAAAAAAACATTAAATGTGCATAGGCCTATTAGTCCCCAAACAACAAGGACTACAATGTTATCGTCATTTTAAAAGTGTTTTGGTTTGGTCTGTGGCGTCCTATGTGACATGTTGTATTACATGTTGTAAAACATTGTTCAATCCAATATTCCATAACTGTTACCTATAGCAACCACCGTGTTAACAGGGCCAAAACTTGTCTAAATTGCACAATAGTTATGCTTAGAGTCCAAAACAGAAACGCCAACACCTTTTTTTTAGTAAAATAGAGGTCGAAGGCCTCTCTAGCATTTAAATGGTCCCTTGGGAATATTTTGGTTAGCATCATGACTCAATCAGAAGGACAGTAGCAGGGGTTTAAATAGACGTCGTGATTCTTTCCTTTTCCGTGGACACAGAGATATGGTGGGTTGTGTACACTGGTGAGAGTTGACACTTGAGAGTCGCAGTGTGGCCACACTGTGGCATGGAGCCGGATCCGTACGGTTTCGGGCTCTCACCAGAGGTCAGACCTGCACATCGTCCCGGGCCTGATCACCCTGAGTGTCCACTACTTTTGGCTTTCAAATACATTTTTGGCTTCAGCCCTCGCCTCAATGCCGAGGTCGCAGGTTCGAGCCCCGGGCAGCCCCAAGATATTCCTGTATAGGGTTGTCCTCCTTTTGGGACCCATTCACTATGAGAATAAGCGACGCCTTCGTTGTTAAACAGTTGGCGTACAAAGACGATACCCTGGTCAACCCCCTTATTATTTTATTTTTTTTTTTTCTTTAGGAAAAGTGTTTTGTGCTTAAAGCATTAATCCTTGTTATTCCAGATGTATTACTCATGTGGTGAGAAGTCGTGCTTATACACTATAGACCAACATAACAGTAACTGTTTGTGAAAGTTAGAAAGTTTCATTGGAAACCTATCGATGCTATAATTACATCTCAGAATAAAGTTTAAACCTCCTAATGCTTCAAATACATGTGCTGAAATGAAGTTCACACAACACACTCACTGTACACACACTAAACACACAACACACTCACTGTACACACTCACTATACACACAACACACTCACTGTACACACAACACACTCACTGTACACACTCACTATACACACAACACACTCACTGTACACACTCACTATACACACAACACACTCACTGTACACACTCACTATACACACAACACACTCACTGTACACACAACACACTCACTGTACACACTCACTATACACACAACACACTCACTGTACACACTCACTATACACACAACACACTCACTGTACACACACTAAACACACAACACACTCACTGTACACACTCACTATACACACAACACACTCACTGTACACACTCACTATACACACAACACACTCACTGTACACACACTACACACAAACACTCACTGTACACACACACACACACACACTCACTGTACACACTCACACACACAACACACTCACTGTACACACACACACACTCACTGTACACACTCACATACACACAACACACTCACTGTACACACTCACTACACACTCACTACACACACACACACACTCACTGTACACACACTACACACAACACACTCACTGTACACACAACACACAACACACTCACTGTACACACAACACACACTCACTGTACACACTCACTACACACAACACACTCACTGTACACACTCACTATACACACAACACACTCACTGTACACACAACACACTCACTGTACACACTCACTATACACACAACACACTCACTGTACACACTCACTATACACACAACACACTCACTGTACACACACTAAACACACAACACACTCACTGTACACACTCACTATACACACAACACACTCACTGTACACACTCACTATACACACAACACACTCACTGTACACACTCACTATACACACAACACACTCACTGTACACACACTAAACACACAACACACTCACTGTACACACACTACACACAACACACTCACTGTACACACTCACTACACACAACACACTCACTGTACACACACACACTCACTGTACACACTCACACACACACACACTCACTGTACACACTCACTACACACACACTGTACACACAACACACTCACTGTACACACAACACACTGTACACACAACTCACTGTACACACAACACACTGTACACACAACACACTCACTGTACACACAACTCACTGTACACACAACACACTGTACACACAACACACTCACTGTACACACACACACACACACACTCACTGTACACACAACACACTCACTGTACACACAACACACACTCACTGTACACACACACTCACTGTACACACACACACACACACACACTCACTGTACACACAACACACTCACTGTACACACACTATACACACAACACACTCACGTCACTGTACACACACACACACACTCACTGTACACACAACACACTCACTGTACACACACACACACAACACACTCACTGTACACACACTCACTATACACACAACACACTCACTGTACACACACTAAACACACAACACTCACTGTACACACACACACACACACACTCACTGTACACACACTACACACACACACACTGTACACACTCACACACACACACACTCACTGTACACACAACACACTCACTGTACACACACACACACAACACACTCACTGTACACACAACACACACACTCACTGTACACACACTATACACACAACACACTCAGTACACACAACACACTGTACACACACACACACACACTCACTGTACACACAACACACACACTCAGTACACACACACTACACACAACACACTCAGTGTACACACACTCAGTGTACACACAACACACTCAGTGTACACACACAACACACTCAGTGTCACACACACACACACACAAACACACTCAGTGTACACACAACACACTCAGTGTGCACACAACACACTCAGTGTACACACAACCACACACACTCAGTGTACACACAACACACTCAGTGTGCACACATCAGTGTGCACACAAAAACGATTGAGAGAGAAGCTGCCTCCCACATTTAAACCGTGGCACAATGTAGCAGTGGAAATGATTAATCAAGGAACAGTTAGCAAATGTTAAAACACAACGGTCCTTCCTGATGCCACATTATACTGCTGTGTACAGGTGAAGGCACAATCTACACAAGTTATGTATTTCAAAGTGATTATTCTTTGTACGACATTTGGTAAGAACTGTTAAACTACTTATGCTACTAAATTAAGCTTTTCTAAATTACACTATGTCTTTATGGATATTAAGTGGCATGAAAAATGGAACCTCTACACTGGCACTTTATTGTAATTATAAATGTTGCATTATTATTCACTATTTATTTCATGAGCAGATGAGTTAAAAATTGACAGAAGCTTGTTAGAATTTTTGAGTCTATTTTCCTTGGGGAACAAAGTCACCCTTTTGGCATTTCATCTGTTATCAGTTAAACAAAGTGTTTTTTGTTTTTTTTTGTTTTTTATATTTATTATTGCTTTTTCTCAAGGTTTCAAGTTATTTCCGTGATTATTGCTGATTTTTCTTTCATTGTCAGAGGGGTACCAACAATTTTATCCACAACTGTAGGTGTGCCTGCGAGGAAAAGTGGCATATACCCCAACCTGCCACACATTATTATTCACTATTTATTTAATGAGCACATGAATTCAAAACTAATATTGGCAGAAGCTTGTTAGAATTTTTGAGTCTATTTTCCTTGAGGGACAAAGGCACCCTTTTGGCATTTCATCTGTTATCAGTTAAACAAAGTGTTTTTTACTGTTAGTGAACAATCTGTAACACCAGCCATGCTCTATTTTCATATGTAGACTAACATGTGCTGTCCCCCTCCCTCAGAGCCAGTGTCTAATGTGAGCATCACAGTGAGCAGCTCAGACTTAGTGGAGTTCAACAGTTCTGTGACTCTCTCCTGTTCTGCTGATGGGATCAACCTGACAACTTTCCTCTGGTTCAATGGCACTTCTGAAGTTACACTCAGTGACAGAGTGCACCTCACTGATGGAGGAGCAACTCTCACTATAGCCACTGTGTGGCGCTATGACCACGGACCATTCACATGTAAAGTGTCTGATCCTTTCAGTAGCAGCACCAGTGCCCCAGCAGAAGTCTCCATCAGCTGTGAGTAAAGCATGTCTACAGTTCAGACGCACAAACAATCCCATGTCCAACTCTAAACTGTGTATTTATATTTGATATTTTCAGATGGACCTGATGATGTCATTTTGAGGAGCTCTCCTTTACTTGATTATTATGAGGAAGGTTCAGACGTGTCTCTGTCCTGCTCAGCTGACTCCAGACCTGCAGCTCACTTTAAATGGCTTTTCAATGGAGAGTTGTTGTCTTTTACTGGAGCACAGATACAAGTGAAGAACATGCAGACGATTCATAGTGGAGACTACAGCTGTCAGGCTTTCAACAGCAAAACTCTCAAATATACAACGTCTCAGCCTGTGAGGATCTCTGTGCTGAGTAAGAACTATTCCAGTGTCATACACCTGTCCTTCATCTACTTTTACATGACACCACAGTGGACAAAACATTCACAGCTTGTAAATTGTAAATTTTCCTGTAGTTCAGACTTTCTTGGTGGTCAATCAGGCAAAATTTTAGAGAAGATATATGTTTTATCATATATTTCACTATAACACAGAAACATTTACATGTTGTACTTTGTAAATCACAATATTGATCTAAAACGACTTTTGACCACAGCAAGTAACAGATTTGATTCTTTCCTGTGACCACTGAACAAACTGAAATGTTCTGAGCACATAAGCCTCAGATGCAGGACAACACATGATTACACACACACACACACACACACACACACACACACACACACACACACACACACACACACACACACACACACACACACACACACACACACACACACACACAACACAGGATCAATCAAAATACAACTACTATGAGCAAGCAAATGAACACTGAGGAAACACCGATAGAACATGGACAAAATAAAGTAAAAGTAAATTCTACAGAATATGTTTTCTTTAAATCATATGAACCCAAATCATCACTGGATCTGTGGAGTTTTCCTGTTTGACTCTTCACATGGCTGTGCTGCTCACAATAATTCAACATTCACCAGTCACAATGTGCACAGTCTGCAGTGACACTGAGAGGACACTAAGTGGTGCTGTGGTCACTAGTTAACTGGATCTCACTGTGTTTCTTTAGATTCAGCAGTTCCTCCAGAGGGCCTCTCAGCTGGAGCCATCGCTGGGATAACTGTTGCTTTATTAGTGGTCGTTGTTGGAGCTGCAGTCGGAGGGTTTCAGATGTATAAACACCAGTAAGTCAGAAGCACCATATCTTCAGTGTCTTATTTAGAATATGGATGTAGGTCTCCTGTACACTGACTCTGTTAAGTTTGATTTGCATTTATTTTTTTCCAGAAACAGCAGAAAGTTCAGGAATAACAGTAAGTATTATTGTAGTTTATCAAATATTCTCAAAATAAAGTTTAAGTGAGATTACACCTCCACATCCAGGTCAGAATGAACATCATGTCTACGAGAATACTTCAAATACACACAACTCTAACAATGATGAAGAAACTGTGTATGAGAATGATTTCAATCCATACAATCGAAACTTGTAACTTTAATGTCATTTTTACTTACATTTCTGCATCACATAAGTGATTGTTTAAGAGTTTTAGACTCTGTGTTTAACTCTAACAGTTGTGAATGTGTGTACTGTTCTGGAAATCTTCACATCAGTGATCTTTTACTGGGTTTAGGCTGTTCATAAATGGTACATCAGATATCTATTGTTAAACAAAGTACCCTGAGGGGTGTAAAGACTCTGTCTACATTGTTATGTGACAGTTTAGGGACAGACGAGTCTCTGTCAGGGACCGGCAGTTCTGTGATTTTATGCACAATTGCTTCAATAAATCAGACTCCTTGATTCAAAGCAACTTTTCAGTTCTTTTTTAATGTTTGTAGTCTGTTCCACAACACTACATACTGTAAAATACAACAATGTCTCTGCAGTTGGGTTAAATAAACCTTGAACAACAGAGCAAAAACTGTTTAAAACTATGACATCAGTGCAGTGAAGTAGTTTTGCTGTTCATATTCATTCATTGAGTATTTCTTTATACTGGTGTCTGGGATGTTGTTTAGCACTGACCCATCTCTGTCACTGTCACTTCCAGTCCATTAACAGTGAATGTAAAACTAACTAAAACTAAGTAAATATTTATACACTTATTTAAAAAATGTAAAAAAAAATAAAAAAATAAAATCTTTTATTAAACAGTGTAGTGGCTGATTACACATGTCAGACTTGAAGCTCTGTGAATAAAGTACAGCTCGAAGGTACAAAGAGCAGAATGTTGATATTGAATCTACTAATGTGTAATAATGAATCAAAGTATATTATACAGATGAATGACAAACACAACACTTCCTACTAAATACTTCATATTATCACTGTGTCCTGATGAAACTGGTGAAGCTGAAACTACAGAAGATATGAGTCTCCAAGTTTTTATTCTTTGTGCTATCTTTGGTAAGTTGAAAAATTATTTAATAGCTGTGTGTAGGAGCTATTTGCTTATTTTGTTGATTCTAATGTTTAGTTCTGAGTTTGCCCACACTTTTGTTTGTTACTTTTATTTGACAAATAGTCACTACACTGTGTATAATCCGCAGGTTTAGTTTCAGCAGCTTTTAGTGCTTCACTCAGTAACTCTGCAGAAATCTGTGATGTTTTCAGAGGTTTTTGTTTTGTTTTATGTGTTACATACAAGAGGAAGAAACCCCGGTTAGCACAGCATTCTGTCGTATTACCTCCAGTAAACCTGCCAGTGCTGCAAACTCCTGCACTGAACACTCTTCATCCCAACAGTAGCTCAGCCAGAACATGCTTTTGGACATTAGTTTTAACCTCTGGACCCTTCAGGAGAACATACCCGTCAGCAGGAGGCCTACAGCAAATGTTCATCAAATCATGTGGTGTATTCCAGTTTACATCAGCTGAGCCTGTGTTTAACAGCAGCTACACATGTGACCAAAGCTCACATCCACAAGAGGTTTTCCATCGACTGGTGTTACACCCAAATGTTTGTCTGGCTACAATATTAAAAGTTTGTCTGGACGCCTGTTCAACTTTTGAGCTGTGGCATCAGTGACAAACAAACTCTTATATCAATGTGAGAAGAGTGTCACAAATACACCAGGATATGCTTCAACTGAGCTGAGAGCAGAACACTTAGATAATCATTAAAAGGGTGTCAGATAAGGACAGTGACACTAAACTGTGACAGTGACACTGAACTGTTGTAAAATTGAACACTGACACTGGAGTTATAATGTTGCCATAACAAGCAGATGGTGCTGTAAAGGATGGACGCACCAAATGAAACACACGGGGTAAGTGGAACACATCACAGTCATGACAAGCAAATTCTGCAGACAATAGTGCATTGTATACACACTAATTGTAACTATAGAAAGTGCTGATTTTAAAGTTTGTAATAATGAACTGCTCACCAGTGGTCTAGTGGTTTAAGGCGTTGCTACCACATTGGAGTTGTGGATTTGCCCCATTTCTCCCTCCAGCAGTCCTGTCCTGTAATTTATTTAGTTTAGTCTTTATTTGCAGGGACAATGTCCAGAGACATTAAGCTCATACAACATCATAAAAAAAAAGATGTTTCACACCAGATTATAAGAGCACAGGTCACAACATCTAAGAAAGTATCTTAGGACGACAGCAGCTCAGTAGTAAGAGCTCAGTAGTGTGTTTGTGAGTGAATGGTGGTAGTAGTCGGAGGGGCTGATGGCACAGGTTTGCAGCCTCGCTTCACAAGTGCCGGCAGAGGACGCCTCTGGCTCCACCGTCACCACAAAGTGGATGAAGAATAGTCTACCAGTAAATACCTCGACAAATATATGTCTCCAGTGATAAACAAGTCTTGTTTTTCAGAGTTTCTAATAGAAAACACAGTGGGGGATATACAAGCAACTTACTTTGTGGCTGTGATCTGTTTGTATCTGTTCATTTACATTAGATACTTCTGTTCTGATTATTGCACTTCCTGTTTTTGTGTTCCAGATTAACCAGAAAATCTTCAAATCTCAAGTCCAAAAGAGGTTCAAGTAGAAACAACTCTCACGTTGAGCTGCTTGGGAGAATCTTTACCTGCAGCCAACTACATCTGGATTAAGACTGGAACAACTGTAGCTAGTTTGTTTGAATACTGTAACAAACAGGCTGGTGGTTTGTTACCCATGAGTACATTAAGCACCTTCACCCTTCACTAAGACACTTTAAACACTGCACTTTGATTGCACACAGCACTTTCAACATACAAAAAAAATTGCACACAGTTGGTTTTAAACATTTATTGTCCTTCCTTTTACCACTTTTTAATCCCGAGGCACAGTACACACACACTCCAAAAGACCTGAGTCTCCTCAGGAGATAGAGCCTGCTCTGGCCCTTCCAGAGGTTTTACGGTTTTTATGTATATAGTTGGTGGTTTTAATAGTTATTTGGATTTGGATATATTTTATGGAGGTTTAGATCAAGATTTAAAGCTATGATAATTTTACCATCCCTGTTTTAGCTGTAGTAGTTTTAGCCAATCAGGCAGACCAGGATAAAAGGCGCCTCAAAACATAAGTCTGTGTTCTGCTGCTGGAGAGGAAACTCCTGCCTGCCTCCATTTTGCACTCTGCACTTTTTGTAATGATTGAAAACAAAAACTGTGGACCACTGCTTCACGTCTATGTCTGGATTTTTTTTTACCTTACTCACTGAACCCCAATCCGCTCACGGTCAACCTACGTCACAAATACATAATTATCATGTGAGAAGTCTGAGAGAGTGGAGAGTACGTCTGTTCACCCACTAATGACTTCACCATGAAAACATCTGAAGCAACACATACAGTGTTTGCATCAGGTAAATGTTTACACTGAATCAAAAGTCGAGTCTGTTTTAACACTTGGCTGGTAACTTTTAATAAGATAAATTCATTAATGTGATGAAGATAATATTTCCCCATCCAGTAAAATGTACAACATGGGCCCATGTGCTAGTGATGGGATGAACAACACTGGTGCGTCAGCACTGTGTCGTGTGCTCAAGAGTGAAACCCTGTATTGGTGCATGTATCACTTTAAGAAAAAAATCATGTGACCGATACAGGACGTGTGTCGTTTGGATGTGCCATGTCAAATTGTGTTTATAAGGTTTGTTAGATGGAGACCAAACTGTGTTTGCTGTTGTTGTGTTTGTTGGATTTTTGCTTTGTTTCCACGTCTGACTTCATGGATTGTTTCAAGACGTTTTCCCCAGTCTGGAATCATTTTGATCTTTTAATTATTTAAAAATAAGGTGTAAATCTTTTTCTTCTTTGGACATTGTTTACTGTTAGTTTTTTATTTTTATTTTTTATTATTATTTTTTTTAATTAAATATGTTTCTGTTCTTTTCTGGTAAGAGGTAAGAATTGTTTTCAGATAAATTTACTTTTTTTTATTTTATTGTAGGTGAAGTGTTGCTCTGCTCCACAGAGTTATCTTACGTCAATAAGAGCACTTCATCAATGCTGAGGCATTATGGAGCTCATGGCAATGAAGAATTGGCAGATCCTCCCGTGAGTGCCTCAGGTATACTGAAATTCTCACACACACAAAAAAAAAAAGAATTTTCAAAAATAGTTTATTACACACAAAAGGCTTTGTGTGACTCTGTAATATTGTTTGTAAAAATGACAGTCCTTCAACAAGCTTTAAACAAACTATTTCCTTTTGGCTTGCAGTTCCTAACACGTAACCAGTGGATGAGGGTGTGGTCAACATGATCATCAAAGACTGTCAGCCACTCACCATGGCTGAAAATGAGGGATTCAGAGAGCTTATGAAGCTTATTGCAACCCTCATATGTTGTACCAAGCAGGAAGGTATGTTTGAATTAATACTGTATGTATTCATAAGGTATTACACTATTTGTATATTTATTTTAAGACCATCAAAGACTTGGTGAGCCAGAAATATGAGGAGGAAAAGAAGAAAACAAAAATTGGACCTACAGAGCGCCGTTCCTGTTTAACAGCTGATAAGTGGACGTCCATTAATATGGAGGCATATCTTGTTGTTATTTGCCACTATGTGGACAAAGAAAGCCATGAACTCCGTTCATCAGTCTTGGGAGTGGAGCATTTTCCTCAGAAACACACTGCAGAAAACATGGCCACAGTTAAAAGGAGCCTCATGGAGGAGTGGGGCATAGCGGACAACATCAGGTGTCTTGTCACTGATGCAGCAGCAAACATGATTTCAAATGCTGCAAATACGGCAAACCATTTGTATTGCCCATTCCATGAATTTAATTGTAAAAAAATCATGTGATCAAATCACAACACTAACAGAAATACACAACAAAACACTGCAAATTGTGACATAATTTCTATCAAGCATGATGGCCAAAGAAAAGCTCACTCAAATGCAGCAACAGCTGGGAACATCATTCCATAAATGAATAAATGAAGTGCTGACACGATGGAACAGCACCTACCACATGTTGGAAAGAATGACTGAGCAGAAGGAGACAGTCTGTCTGTCTCAAAAACTGATATCACTCCACTGATTCCTGAAGAATTTGAAATCACTGAAGAGATGCTCAGGGTGCTCGCTCCTTTTAACCAAGCCACAAGAGAACTCTCTGAGGAAAAAAGAGTCTCGAGGTCAAAGGTTATTTCATTGATGATAATGATTCACACTGAGCTTCAACGTCAAGCCTCAACAGTGACAAAAACAGTTGCTCATGAGCTGACTGAAAATCTGAGAAAGCGGCTGACTGAGTCTATCTGCAACATGGAATCACTCAGTGTGATGACACTGGCAACACTGTTGGACCCCAGGTTTAAAACATTTGGCTTCTTTAGTCCACTAAAAGCAACTGAAGCTGTCAAGAGACTGAAGTTGGAGTGTGCTGCTGAAATGAGGAGCCATGAGCCTGACCCAGCAGAAGAGCCTCGCTCTTCACATGGATCAGAACCCAGTTCACGTATGGAAACACATGTTTTTGTGTTTATATGTATATTTCTGTGGCAGTTTGTTAGTCGTTAGTTTATTATCACATGACAAAGAATTATTTTTCTAAAATATTTTAGGGCACAATCTCTGGAAACCTCTAGATATGGAGGTTGAGGAGAACAAGATGACCTCAAATACTACAGCCAATTCCATAGTTGAAGTCCAACGCTACCTGACTGAAGCAACACACCCAGAACACAAGGCCCGTTAGAATATTGGAAAAATAACCAGAAAACATATCCACACCTTTATCAACTACACCATCTTCATCTGTTCCCTGTGAAAGAGGGTTTTTTTTTGTTTTTTGGTTTTTTTCTAAGGCAGTGGAACTGGTGTCTAAAAGGAGAAATCTCCTTGGAGCAAAGACATTCCAAAAACCTTTGTTCCTCAATAAAAATGTATGAATGAATCCATTTTGAGTGTGTTATTTCATATGATTGAACACTTAAATTAACAAAATCCCATATAGAAGTTAAACATTTTAACTCTGAATTTTTTACTGACAAATTTGCTATATTTTACAAACCAACTCATTTTAGCATTTACACAAGCAAATAATTAAGCAAATTTTAAACTCTTCTCATCAACAACTTAACTCAGCAAACAAATGAAGCAAATTGATTTATACAACGATGAGATTATATTTTGAGTAAAAGACTAGCAATTAAATAAAAATGTAATATTATTTCACAGGCTGATGTTGGGTTTGCAGCATGAAAGCTTTTCCATCTTATTTCCATTTTGTTTACCTGCAGTGATTTTAGAACTACTGCAGAGGTCACTATTGAGTGACCATCACAGTGTCAATAGAGTGTCAACACAGTTTGTGTAACGTGTCAATACACTCCTTGAAGTATCATCATCCCCTCACTACCATATGCATATTTTTAAATCAGATCTTTTTGCCATTTGATATATTTGCTACAAGTATTTTTGTATTTTCATAAGTTTGATGTTTCCATTCGTTCATTAAAGGACCAAAGGCTGGGGCCATTGCTGGAGTAACTATCACATGTGTAGTTTTCTGTGGCAGCTGTGGTCAGATGAATCTTTACTTGTAAGCATCAGTAAGTCATGAACACATTCATTTACATCTTCAAGGAAAAATGACTGACACTATTGTATTTCCTAAGGGCTAAGGGTTGTCTGGTCCCTGTATGACCGGAGCAGGAGCTGTGTTCATTGGCGGCAGTAAGTCAGACCTGTTCCCGGTGCATGTTGGACTCCACCAGAGCTGCCCTTTGTCACCGGTTCTGTTCATTGTATTTATGCACAGAATGTCTAGGCGCAGTCAGGGGCCGGAGGGGGTCCAGTTTGGGGACCACAGGATCTCATCTTTGCTGTTTGCAGATGATGTTGTCCTGTTGCTTCATCAGACCAGGACCTGCAATGTGCACTGGGGAGATTTGCAGCCGAGTGTGAAGCAGCTGGGATGAAGATCAGCTCTTTCAAATCCGAGGCCATGGTTCTCAACCGGAAAAAGGTGGCTTGCCCTCTCCGGGTGGGTGAAGGGTCCCTGGTGGAGAAGTTCAAGTATTTGTGAAGGAAGTCTGGGTCTGGGAGTTTCTCCACAGAGTGGATGAGCTTAGACTGTTGCCCCCGTGACTCTGTTCCATGCTCCAGATAAGCAAAACCCAGAAGAAAATGGAGGAGCTGGATGGAGGTGAAGAAGTCTATTGTATTTCCATCATTCCAGATAGTACAAGAAAATGGATGGATGGACTATTGTATTTCCATTTTAGCACCGGTAGGCAAAAGAAACACAATTCAGAGTTAGAAAAGAAGAGCATTCATTTACAGTGTTTTAATTTCTCATTGTTCCACAGGTCCAGCAGACAAACACAACCAAACTCTTCAAGAATAAGAAACTTTTACAACAAGGAAGGCAAACAAAAAAAAAAAAAATCAAATGTCTATGAAAACCCCTTAATATATGATCTAAATTTTTAATTCATAATAATTAAAATGAATAAAAATGATATATTCATTCTAACATAAACATGTTCTTTTTTTTGTTAGTAGTGTAGTTAATGCATATGATTAAAATGATAATATTTTCTTGGAATTTTAAGAAATTTGAAAAGTAATTTAGCTGATCTATGTTCTTATGTTGTTTCCTCATCAGTTGTGGAGGTTTATTCACACGTTTAACACACTCACCCTGCATATTTAGTTCTTGTAATAAATAAAAAAAAGGTGAAAGGAACTGTTAATTTGAAAACTAACACTAAATTACATCAAAAGGTGGAACAGAGCATTTTGAGTTTTGCAAATGTAGACAGACTAATAATCCAGGATGATGCAAAATGTAATTAATATGATTGACTGAGATTCAGGAGCAGGACCACGCCTCAGCCGCCCTCTCCTCTCACCAGCCAACCACAACTCACCTCCACCACGCCTCGAATTTCCCAGAAGCCTTTATGTAGCAGCCTTTCCCATCATCCCAGTTTGTCTCGACTAACTCGACCCCACCCTCCCATCCCCTATTTTGTCTTTCAGTCATAAAACCCCTACAAGGGGGATCCCGTTCTGGCTGGGCCAATTGAAGATTGAGCCCCCACCCATAGTCTCAACCCAGCCATCTCTGCCCCGCTTTGTACATTATCAATAAACTTCTTCACACTATGTCGTTGTTGGCGTGGTCCTAGCTAGTGAATGTGTGAACGAAAT